ACACACACACAGGAAGGAGCTCCGAAACAGCTGTCTAACTCCCAGGTACCTAGTCACTGCTAAGTAACAGTGTCATCAGGGTGAAAGAAACTTTTTGCCCATTTATTTCTGCCTGGTCCGGAAATCGAACCAAGCTACAGGATTACGAGTCCTACGCGCTGTCCACTCAGCTACCAGACCCCCTTTGTGTGTGTATGCGTGCGTGTGTGTGTGTGTGTGTGTGTGTGTGTGTGTGTGTGTGTGTGTGTGTGTGTGTGTGTGTGTGTGTGTGTGTGTGTACTTACCTAGATGTACATACAGGTACGAGTTCGTCGCCTCCTAATTCCGCCTTCCAAATGGTCTTTAACGCAATGGTTCGGTTCCCCCTGCTGTTCTTATCAATGGAATGATAAGAACACAGAACACATGGGCCATGGACAGAGTGAGAACATTAAGACATGGGGCGAGAACAAGACAGAGGGGCCAGGGGGGAAATAACATGGCCTAGAACAAAAGAACAATGGCATGAAGTATTTTATACATAGAGCAAACTGGGGACCAACTAGAACATTATCAGCGTCTGGACCAATGGTTTAAGTGGTTGTAAATCTATACTATCCAGCGCTTGAGAGGTCCTGGGGGAAGATGGACCCCCACCACACATGAGAATATGTGAGGGGGGATTATATACTGGGTATATACAGGCGAAGACTCACAATAACGTGGCTAAAGTATGTTGACCAGACCACACACTAGAAGATGAAGGGACGACGACGTTTCGGTCCGTCCTGGACCATTCTAAAGTCGATTGTGAATGAATCACAATCGACTTGAGAATGGTCCAGGACGGACCGAAACGTCGCCGTCGTCCCTTTATCTTCTAGTGTGTGTGGTCTGGTCCACCTATTGGGTATATACCCCTTCCCCAAGTCTGTATGACTTGGGGAACTTGGGATCTTCTCGAGGTTATCTTGAGATGATTTCGGGGCTTTTTAGTGTCCCCGCGGCCCGGTCCTCGACCAGGCCTCCACCCCCAGGAAGCAGCCCGTGACAGCTAACTAACACCCAGGTACCTATTTTACTGCTAGGTAACAGGGGCAAGGGTGAAAGAAACTCTGCCCATTGTTTCTCGCCGGCGCCTGGGATCGAACTCAGGATCACAAGCCCAGCGTGCTGTCCGCTCGGCCGACCGGCTCCCTAAATGGTGACAAAAATGTGATTTTGTCACCATCAAAACCTTTCCTCTTCCACAATTTGCACCATTAACTCCACACCACCTTCTCTTCCACACTCCACACTCTCTCTCTCTGAACCTCATTTTTCCTGTTTGCCTTCCGTCAGTTATATTCTTACAAGACAGATGTGTAGGTTGTGTTCATGTCTCACATAAAGTGTTAGCAAGACTCTCCCGCCAGCAAGCTTTCTCCTGGGCACCTATTTACTTCTAGGTGAACAGTGGCATTAGGTGATGGAAAACGTGTGCCCAACTATTTCTGTCCCGTTCGGGCTTCGAACCCGGAATTCCTGATGGTGATTCGAAAACGAACATCGACTGTACTACCGTCAGAGACAGATCTCTATACCCCTGTCTATGGAGAACAGAAGAAAATGTATATATTTATATATATATAATATATATATATATATATATATATATATATATATATATATATATATATATATATATATATATATATATACCTGTAAGCATTCTATACAGGAAGCATTGTATATATGAAAGCATTGTATAATTTTTTATATACATAAGTCTTGTCTGTGGTAGAAAATAGACTGACAATGAGACAATGAGAAATATAATAAATGAAGACCCCAATAGGGACCAGCATCCCCCCCCCCCCCCAGGAGGCTGCATCTCTGCCTTGAGATCATGGGAGTTATATGACTAGGTTATCTTAATACCATTTGCCTGTGCAACATAGCAACGGCTGCAAGAATGGCTTTATCATTTGTGTATATAAAATCATCGTTATCTAATACATTGTTATCATCAGCCGCCAAAATGATGACCTAAAGCTGATAGCGATAATTGTCTTAGTGTTTAAGTGCATCTGATTATGAAGTCAATCATTAGAGGGATGTTTTGAAATCGGAGATGTGTTGGTGTGTGGGAATGTTGACAGTGTGTGTGTGTGGATGGGGGGGGGGGGGAGGTTCCACCACACACACACACACACACACACACACACACACACACACACACACACACACACACACACACACACACACACACACACACACTGCTCGCTCCTGATGATCTCTCAGGTCTGTTGACACGTTAAAACAGCATCCTTATACTCTCTCTGTTGCTCAGGTTCCCCCTGTGTGGGTGGTACTGGGATTTATTGTAAGGGGGATGACGGTTCTCTGATGATGATGTGGCTGCCTGTCTGTCTGCCTTCCTGTGGCTGCTTGCCTGTCTTCCTGTGGCTGCTTGCCTGTCTTCCTGTCTGTGGCTGCCAGACTGTCTTCCTGTCTGTGACTGCCTGCCTGTCTATGGTTGCCAGCCTGCCTGCCAGCCTGCCTGTCTTCCTGTCTGTGACTGCCAGACTGTCTTCCTGTCTGTGACTGCCTGCCTGTCTGCCTTCTCGACTCGCGCCAGACTTAGAGCGGCCTTGACCCACAACTCTACATAACTTATAAACTCAAATTAATCTCAGTAACAACAGTAACAGATTAGACCATGTCGAGGCCCAGTTGGCTAGGGCGTGTGTGTGTGTGTATGGGAACACCCACCACGCAGGGTTCGAACCCTCATCACGGCTCCTACGGATTTTCTCATTGACACAATAACCTTGCTAATTACCACAACACAATAACAACCTCAGACAACAGAGATACAAGGCAATCCGGAACTCTGATCGGTAGGAACAGAATTAGTATTAGGTCTGGACTCTAAAGCAGCCCCCCCTCCCCCCCGTTAGGGACCCTTTTGGTCGGCACTAAAGGTCCGGAGACCCATTTTGGTCGACTCAGAAGGTCTGGAGACCCATTTTGGTCGACTCAAAAGGTCTGGAGACCCATTTTGGTCGATTCAAAAGGTCTGGAGAGCCATTTTGGTCGACTCAGAAGGTCTGGAGACCCATTTTGGTCGACTCAAAAGGTCTGAGAGACCCATTATGGTCGACTCAAAAGGTCTGGGAGACCCATTTTCGTCGACTCAAAAGGTCTGGGAGACCCATTTTGGTCGACTCAGAAGGTCTGGAGACCCATTTTGGTCGACTCAAAAGGTCCGGAGACCCATTTTGGTCGACTCAAAAGTTCTGGAGACCCATTTTGGTCGACTTAAAAGGTCTGGAGACCCATTTTGGTCGACTCAAAAGGTCTGGAGACCCATTTTGGTCGACTCGCAAGGTCTGGAGACCCATTTTGGTCCAGACAAGGGCGCCGTCTGGGGAATCGGGTCCTCAGTGTTTGTTTAACCTTTGAGTGGTATTCGGCTCCATGTGTCAGTGCATGCAACAGGTGCTTGTCTGCCTGTCTCTGTCTGCCTGTCTCTGTCTGTCTGTCTGTCGGTCTCTGATTCGTTAGTGATTGTGTGCGTGTTCTTCCTTCCTTGTTTGTGTCTTTAGCGTCGTGAGTTATTTCTCGAGCCCCGATTTCCAGCGGGTGGTCGTTTAATATACAACACTTTGAGAAGGTCGTGGAGGGAATGTGTGTGTGTCTCTCTCTCTCTCTCTCTCTCTCTCTCTCTCTCTCTCTCTCTCTCTCTCTCTCTCTCTCTCTCTCTCTCTCTCTCTCTCTCTCTCTCTTTTTTTTTTCTCTCTCTCTCTCTCTCTCTCTCTCTCTCTCTCTCTCTCTCTCTCTCTCTCTCTCTCTCTCTCTCTCTCTCTCTCTCTCTCTCTCTCTCTCTCTCTCTCTCTTTCTCTCCCCCTCCCCCCCCCACCTTCCTCAACCTCCCCTCCTTCGTGTTACCTCCCCTCTTATCTTCACCTTCCCCTCACACTCTTTCCCCCCATTGCTCCCTCTCCTCCTGCACCTCATTATACTCATCCTGTATCTCATTATATCCATTTTGCCTCGCATTATACTCATTTTTGCGTGGATCGGTCGAGGACCCAGAAGGTATTCCATCCGTTAGGTTTAGCATCGATTGGTCTGGTTACAAGTGGACGGGTGGCCGCCCGAGGTTGATGATAGACACGAGGCCTAACAACCGCGGGAGGGTTGTTAAGGCCACCACAATAAACATACTGACCAACCAGAAAGTATACTTTTTTTAGTCCTGAAATACTGTAGCATACAGGTATATTTTTATTTAAGTCTCCCACTGTTGAGTTTTGATAATAGAAAACGTAACCTTAAAGAGATGCACTTAACTTAGTTATCCCATAAAGTAAGGCGTTGTAGCATCGTTTTCTATCGTGCCGGCAAGTGTTCAGCGCATCCATATAAAGATTTTGCTGATGAATTCCGCATGCTATATTGCTATATTGAAGTATCCATTACATAGTTGCAGATGCATTTATATTTATATATTTATATATTATATATTATATATTATAGGTATCAAACAGTTCCTGTATATTACAAGGATGTATGTCCGAAAAAGGTATGCGTGTTTCGCAAGAATGTATATACAACACAGGTGTATACCCAGCTCTTGATGTATGTATAGTACTCTGAAAGTTTACTTTAATCCTGGATTATGTTTAGGATTAAAGTATCAGCTGGTTGTTCAGGAGCAGAGTAACATAATATTTATATAAACAATAATTCTTACATTCTTGTAAAGCGACTAACAGGCATAGCGTTTCGGGCATGTACTTAATCCTAATTTTTCCCCCAGGAATATATGACCCGCCAAATCGTTAAGTACCCATTGACTGCTTTAACCATTTGCCCATTAATAGTTGTGGGATCCCTTGACTGTTTCAAGCATAGGTTTGGCGGGAGTCCGTACACGTGAAGCCATCAATCAAGATGACAAATTCAGATGAAATCGAAGTTTAAAATCAAATAATACGTGTTGTATCATTATAAGGAATTAATAATAGGCAATGGAATGTTGGATATATTATTACAGTCTTGTCATAAACAGAACACACATCATAAATTACATAACTAATTAATAATTTAGCTTTTGGATGAGGAAGTGTTCTTGTATTTAAGTTTGTATTTTAAAGCTACTAGTACCATCACATTTTAGTTATAGGCCTGTAGTTAGAATATAATTTATATGTATAATGTTTACAGCCTATTTTGTGCGATAGACAACATACAATATGTATGCATTTACACTACGAAAATATACAAGCCTACGCCGACCCAGCCAGTTTCGACACCTAGATTTTCATAGGTCCAAAGAAGCGTTATCATCATGTTTTATGTTGAGAAGAAGCGAACATGTTTTCATATGTTTTAAAAGCGTTGAAATTGTACGCGTATGTCTCCACCGTACATAAACGACGCCTTAACTGTGAGGACAGGTTGTTGAAACACCTGTAGCGATGGTTGGCAGTTCTCACGCAGGAGTCCAATTGCAGTTGTTTTTTGTGGGTGGGGCCGGGAGGGGAGACTGCAATACTCTGACAAGGGGCCCCAGGTACTCGCCTTCTCAAACCATACCACCTTATTTATCTTTCTTTATTGTGGGATAAGGAAGCGTATGTGACAATTTTTATTTCATTTTGACAGTTGTCGTTGTCCCTTAGTGCCGGGAGGGTAGACTGGAGCTTCTTTGTGTCCACAGTTACAGGAAGAGTCCCACTCAGAAATCCAGCCAGTCCTCCCGAACGTCAAGAAACTGTCGTACTAAAGTACCCTAATCCTAACCTACCAGAGGATCCAAAATATAAAATGGGGAAAGCATGTCAATTTCGCAAGCCACTACCATTTTCTAGTACAACAATTTTTGCCTTTAGGTAAGAGCATACGTCAAAATGCGACGTTCTATACGGAGGACGAGGTTGTAAATCTGTGATAATGGGGCTACCAGAGTCCCCCCCCCCCCCCCCCATCTAGGGTCCGGGACCTAACCGTAGCGTTGAGTATCGAGTTTTTATACAGCATGTCACGCTGAATGTGACGTAGTTTTTATACACGGGTTGCTGGTTATGAATGTGCTGACTGGCCAGCATTGAGATGGTCGCTCTGTACAAGAGAGTTCGGTATCCAGTATTTACCTTGGTCACCCATGACATACGCGCTGAGGCGGCTCCGTATCGGATTTGCCTGGGCAGAATAATGGAGGTTGTTTTATTTCTTCTATGAGGGTCATATTTATTGGTAATATTTTATTTGTATGGAATTTGGAAGTTGCGCAATACATGGGGATTCGAAAGTCAATACGCACATGTGAGAGTGCGTATTGCATTTTAATCCCATGGAAAAGACTGCCAACCTTTTTTTCATGTGGTAGAGAGTTATATCACTTTTGTGTACCCTTGCGCACCACGGAGCCCAGAGTTATGTAGATGAGGAGCAAGTGTGATCAAACCAGTGAGTTGGAAGGTGGACATGGAACCACCCGAGCATTAACGTGTCCACTTGCGACACCTGTGCATCTTTCCTCTGTAACAAACTGAGCTTGGAAACGTCCCAACTCAAGGTGGTTATTGTTATAAACAACCTCGTAGCGCTTTGGAGGAGGGAAGGGAATGATCCGGGGAAAAAGCGCCATGCCATTACGACTATATAGCACTTGGAAGGGGTCGGGATAAGGATTTGGGGTGGGATGGGGGGAAAGGAATGGTGTCTTATCACTTCGATGGTCGGGACTAGACCTCTGGCTGGGCCAGGTGCGTCACGTGACGAGCTCTGGGGGCCTGGTGCGTCACGTGACGAGCTCTGGGGGCCTGGTGCGTCACGTGACGAGCTCTGGGGGCCTGGTGCGTCACGTGACGAGCTCTGGGGGCCTGGTGCGTCAAGATGTTTACCACTCGCCTGAGAGCTTCCCTCACTGCGTACGATTCCCACGATTAATTAAGCACTGTATAAGGCTGCTTTGATGGCGCTGAAGCTGTAGTTACGCTGCATTGATGGCGCTGAAGCTGTAGTTACGCTGCATTGATGGCGCTGAAGCTGTAGTTACGCTGCATTGATGGCGCTGAAGCTGTAGTTACGCTGCATTGATGGCGCTGAAGCTGTAGTTACGCTGCATTGATGGCGCTGAAGCTGTAGTTACGCTGCTTTGATGGCGCTGAAGCTGTAGTTACGCTGCATTGATGGCGCTGAAGCTGTAGTTACGCTGCATTGATGGCGCTGAAGCTGTAGTTACGCTGCATTGATGGCGCTGAAGATGTAGTTACGCTGCATTGATGGCGCTGAAGCTGTAGTTACGCTGCATTGATGGCGCTGAAGCTGTAGTTACGCTGCATTGATGGCGCTGAAGCTGTAGTTACGCTGCATTGATGGCGCTGAAGCTGTAGTTACGCTGCATTGATACCGGAGAGGCTGTAGTTACGCTGCATTGATGGCGCTGAAGCTGTAGTTACGCTGCATTGATGGTGCTGAAGCTGTAGTTACGCTGCATTGATAGCGGAGAAGCTATATGTGGGCTGCAGTGATGATGAACCTGCATATAGCAACGTGTGACTCGACCAACAGGCCACGTAGAGCTGCATCAGCGTGCAAGTAACAGTAATGGCAGTAAACTTGTATGGGACCTGCATTGGTGGCAGGAAACCTGTATACATGACAATACAACTGAATATGGGTTGTATTATTGGCGGTGAACAAGCAGACTGCATTGATGGCAAAGAACCTGTCTCGTTTATTGCTAACCGTGCATCTGCATATTCGCTAAATTGATGATAGTACGTTTTTGATATGTACTCAACTAATTGTGCTTGCGGGGGTTGAGCTCTGGTTCTTTGGTCCCGCTTCTCAATCGTCAGTCAACTGGTGTACAGATTCCTGTGCTTTTCGCTTTGATGTTCATAGGGAATGGAAAGGATGGGGGAGGTAGAGGGATGGGGAGATGAAATTCAGGAAGAGGATGCGGGTGTAGAGAGAGAGAGAGAGGAGGTTTGAAAGTTCGGTGGCCTGTCCACCATGGGTTGACATTTTTGTATGTGTTGTTTGTTTGCGTATGTGTTATGTTGGGTTGTCAGTACATTGGCTGGGGGGGCTAGTGTTTGTGACCTTGTTGGTGTCCTAAAGCACTAGAGCCGATGGAGTTGGCTGAAGGAGGCTAATCTTAGAAACATCAGGGTAGTTACACTTCTGATGCCACGACAAATGGTTTTTTGGTTTTATATTTTTTTGTATGAGTTTTATTTATTTATTTATTTATTTATTTTTTTATTTTATTTTATTTTTTTTTTTATTCTTTATTCTTCATTTGGTGTAGATCGGGTCCGGGATGGGTCACTCATCTGGGTCGTCTGGCAGGCCGCTTAGTATTTGAGGGCTTGGGAAGGCCTCATCATGGATGTGTCTGATCACTTTCTGTTGGAGAGTGATTCTTCTGGTTCTGTGTGGTGGTTCGTGGATCTCGTAGTCGCTGGTGTTTTCTACCTAACCTAACCTACACAGGTTTCTGAAGGCAGTTCTGATGTTAGCCAGCCTCGCGTATGCCGCTGATGTTATTCTTTTTATGTGGGCTTTAAGAAACAGGTTTGGTGTGATCTTTCTCTCTGTCCGTTTCATGAAGTACTTCATGTCCCATTCGGTATCCCGTGTCGGCCTTCTATTTCCTCCATCTAGTATCATTATCTTATATTTACTTGGGTTGAACTTTAGAAGCCATTTGTTGAACCATTCCTTCAGTTTAGGTCATCTTGTAGCTACATACTGTGTTCTTCTGTCTTTATCCTCCTCATAATTTTTGCACTATCAGCAGACATTGAGAGGAACGAGTCTATTTCCTCTGGGAGATCATTTACATATATCAGGAACAGTATAGGTCCAAGGACTGATCCCTGTGGGACTCCACTGGTGACACCTTGCCACTCTGAGACCTCCCTCCCTCACAGTGACTCGTTGTCTTCTGTTGCTTAGGTACTCTTAGGTGAAGTTCCCTATCACTCCTGCCTGCATCTCCAGCTTGTGCACTAATCTCTTATGTGGTACTGTATCAAAGGCTTTCTGGCAATCCAGAAATATGCAATCTGCCCACCCCTCTCTTTCTTGCACGCATGTGTGTAGTTAGTTTGGGCGTTAACCCACTCTTTGACTTCGGGCGTGAACTCTTTTGGACTCTGGGACCTTCCGGCCCACACAAGAGCAAGGCCACTGCAACGAGTGTGTGTGTGTGTGTGTGTGTGTGTGTGTGTGTGTGTGTGTGTGTGTGTGTGTGTGTGTGCGTGCGTGTGTGTGTGTGTGTGTGTGTGTGTGTGTGTGTGTGTGTGTGTGTGTGTGTGTGTGTGTGTGTGTGTGTGTGTGTGTGTGTGTGTGTGTGTGTGTGTGTGTGTGTGTGTATGTGGTGTAAATAAGACTATTCGCACCGTAGGGAAGAACGTTCGGAATATTGAGATTCGCGGAGAAATAAATTAGAAGTTGTCGAAGCCTCACTCCCAGTTGGTGCTGTGGCGAGACAATACATTCGAAGCATCATTACATTAAACCCCGCGTCCGGATGCCCCGGTGATTGTCTTGTGTGTTTCATGATGCATGGGAAGGAGGAGGAGGAAAGACGGTGGGGGAGGGGGTTGAGAGGGAAGGGAAAGGGAGTTTAAAACAGATTGAGGAAGGGGGGGGGATGGTAATTGAGGTTGGGGGGTTATGGGATGGGTGTTACCTGACCCTAAGCCAGAGTCATATGTAAGGTTCAGGTGGCGGGGATGCCGCCCACCTGCCCAGGGTGCGGCTTCCTGCAGTGGTTGGTGGTGGCGGGAAGTTGAGGATGGGGGGGGGAGTGGACAAATAGCTCGAGTGCAGGGGGGGAATTGTGTAAAATCCTGGTTTGTGTCTCGGAGAGGCTGCAGGATCCAAGTAAATTCAGTAGAATATTTGGTTGCAATTTTTATACCATGTCGTAGCTCAGTCGATTAAGGCAGCGTCTGGGATGCTCTTGGATGCAGGTTCGAATCCTCGTCACGGCCCTTGTGGATTTGTTCATGGGGGAGAGTGGGTCCGTCTAATTACCCAAAGCTACCCAAAGCTGCTCTAGTCCACCTAACCCTCCTAGCATTAAGTAATGATAAATTATGACATATTTACTCACTATAATGTTGGTGCTGGATGTAGAACATTAAAAAACCTTATTTTTACTCTGAACTAATAATTTATAACGAAATTAAGTGGCAGTTGACGCCATGGGAAGTCGACGATCCGAGCGACAATGTTGTGGCTTTGGGTACTTAGATGGACCCAATTTAGTTATAAAATGATATTATTTCAGAGTAAAAATAAGTTTTGTATTGTACTTCACCCAGCACCAACATTATAGTGAGAAAATGTGTTTGGATCTCTGTTTGTCATCCTCTCTTGTTACACCTTCTTTGTGGCAGACAGCTTGCTCTCTAACCCCCCCCCCCCACTCCTCTCCCTCTGTCTCTCTGATCTCTCTGTCTCTTTCTGTCTCTCCACCCTCTTCCTTCTCTGTGAGCAGCTAGCTTGGTCGTTCTCTCCCTCCCTCCACCTGCCTACCTACCTTATCCCTGCAAACGTTGTGACGAACCCTGGGAAGAATGTGTAACATTGCAGTCAGATGCTTTGAAATCATTTTTTGTGGGAATCCTGCAGGTGTTAGATGCAGGCAAGACGCCTCTTCCGACCCCTCGCCCACCAGGACGAAGCTCTTCTCGTTTTTAGTTTCCTTGGCCCTGACTTCGGCTTTCAGGGAAAGCTGTATCCCATCTCGGGTACCTGCTGGATCATTGACTCATCAAGCACGAACAGTGGGAAGCAATCATGTCTAACTGCATCATCGCGCGACATGAATGTGGAACGTTCTACATTAGCTAAAGTTAAGGGGGAACTTAACTAGAGTTGCTGCACACTGGACGCCACCTATGCACAATATGCACGTGAAACTCTTCCTGCAGTGTTTTTTTGGCTGAGTGGGGCGGGTCCTCCAGGCGACGGTGGGAAGGGTGAGGACATCTTGCCTATAGTGGCTCCGGCCCTCCCTTCCTGCACCCTTTCACTGCATTCGTTCCTACAGCCGCCTGGGAAAGGTAGGTAGGTAGGTAGGTTGGGAAGGGGCCTGGGACAGAGAGGGAGGGGAGAGGCCGCGGGTTGCAATGGGAGTCGACTTACAGAGCAGCAATGCATTGTATGTTGCAGTGGAGAGAGAACAACCAACCAGCCAGCCGTTATGGAACTTATGGGTCATTTGCATAACAGCAACCAAGGCAGGTTGCAGCTGCAGGCGATCAGATGACTTACCAGTACTGACGAGGGAACAGTTCTCTGGGAAGGTTACTTGGGGACACGTTTCATTGCAAGATATTGAAAGAAAAACAGATGAACTGACATTCAGCATTGTTTGCAAGTTGAATAGTCTTGCCACAGAGCAAAATGGCCTGGGCACCGGGTGGAAAAAGGCTGTAATTACCACAAAACTAGCATTGACATTTTAAAGTGTAGCAAATGTCATGAACAAGTGGAGCATTAATATCTTAAGAGTGCTGATATAGTTGAATTATTTCACGGATGAAATAATGATACAAAATGAAGACAAGTTATAATTCATCTTGAGGGTCAACATGCTCTGGGTACTGGCACGATTGGCTCTCACACCTGACCACACTCCTTGTCTGTCTCTGTCTCTGTCTGTCTCTCTCTCTCTCTCTCTCTCTCTCTCTCTCTCTCTCTCTCTCTCTCTCTCTCTCTCTCTCTCTCTCTCTCTCTCTCTCTCTCTCTCTCTGTATCCCTCCCATTCTCTGTCCCTCCTAGTTTTTTCTCCATTTGGTTTTCATTTGGATATAATAGAGAGGACGCAGAGGTCGGGGACTGCGGACTGGCCTCATTAGGGACACCTGCGAGCCCTTAAGGTTAGGCTAATTGGCTCTACACAGGTTTTGCTGATCCGGTTTTTATTTTCTAAGTCCCATTGACGGACCAAATTCTTCTACCTGTCACTCTTCGGCTGCTTCCCAGTGCAACACTTCTTTTTATTCACTCTAATGCGTTTAGGTTTGGCTGGTCTGTAACTCGTAACTTAAAGAGAATTAATGTGGTGGAAAGCTTAAGGGGATACTAATTTTATTTTATTTTTAATCTAGTTGGAAGTTCTTTATGACATATTTACTTCATTTTCGGTTATTGGAATTGTTGTAGAGTTTTGTATGATGTGATTTATAAGAAGATATATTTAAAATGACAAAGAGAGCCAGTCATACCTTCTGAATATCCCGCAAGAGGTTTTCCTTCAATGCACCACACACACACACACGGTCAATGAGGCGGGATCGAGGCATGAAAAACAACCTTACTCTACCTAAGCCTGCCCTGAGGGCGCCTCGTTTTCTAAGAGTGCCGGAGGGCATCCCGCAGGCGGACTGATGAATGGCGGTGGCGGGCTGCACTTATAAAAAACACCTTTCCTTCTCTCACCGCTGCACACACACACACATTACAAGACCTCCTTTATGGTGCTGGGAACCCCGGCATTCTTTTTAACTTGTCACCGAAGACTGGGGGGTTTTATCTTTTTATTTGAACTGATAGGAAAGTGTAGAATTATGTTTTTGTTGTGATGAACTGGTGTTGAATATCGCTTGTAGGGTCTGTGTTGCGTGTCCTCGCATGTGTTGTGTTTAAATACACTGTTTGTTTACCTGCAGTATTTGTTGATCTGCAGAGTTAGTTTACCGTCACTTTGTTGATCTGCAGTGTTAGTTTACCGGCACTTTGTAGATCTGCAGTGTTAGTTTACCGGCACTTTGTTGATCTGCAGTGTTAGTTTACTGGCACTTTGTAGATCTGCAGTGTTAGTTTACCGGCACTTTGTTGATCTGCAGTGTTAGTTTACTGGCACTTTGTTGATCTGCAGTGTTAGTTTACCGGCACTTTGTAGATCTGCAGTGTTAGTTTACCGGCACTTTGTTGATCTGCAGTGTTAGTTTACTGGCACTTTGTAGATCTGCAGTGTTAGTTTACCGGCACTTTGTTGATCTGCAGTGTTAGTTTACCGGCACTTTGTAGATCTGCAGAGTTTGTTTACCTGCAGTGTTCTCTTACAGATAATAACTAGGTTGTAATTAATTAAGTCCTCCCAAGGCTGCACAGTACGGTAGTACAATGGTCTACGTCCCCGACTCGAAATCAGAAATCCCGGGTTCGGACCTCGAGCGGGACAGACTTGGATGACCCGGTTTCCTTTCTCCTGGTGTACCTGTTCGCCAATAGTTACATTGGAGTTATAGGCCATAGCCGTGTGTTGCATCTTGGGGGAGGCTCAGTAGTTAACCAAGGCCTAGTAGGGACCACGCCAGGCCTACATACAGGCTGCCTATCCACGGAAATAGACTCCCCTGCCCACAGGGAGTCTGAAATACATCGTCTGAAATACAGAAATTGACGTTTGGGGTCCGTCTCGGGCCTTTATCAACCCCTGCAAATACACAACGTAACGGTCCCTGTTGTTACCTTGTTACAACTGGTTACAAAGTTGTTACATCTTGTTATTATGTTACAGTGACGTGTTAGAAAAGTTGTTACAACTCGTTAGGAGGGATTGCAACTTGTTAGGAGGGGGTTACGAGTTGTAACCCCTTCTAACGAGCTACAATCCGTTTTAACAAGTTGTAACCCCCTCATAACAACTCTTTAGGAGGGGTTACATTAACTCGTTCGAACGTTGCAGCAACGTGATAGTTGGTGATGACGGACCCAAACCTCCTCACCTCTGTTTTCAGATGTGGTGCTTGAGTGTCCTTATTCCGCGGGGCTTTTGTGACTCGCTGTCTGCAGGGGACTAAATCTTTAGCAGCAGGAGATATCCCGTGTTACCTGGAACTTTTTATTCCAGGTAGCGAATCTTTAACAACAACAATGCAAAATTTCACGTAAACTCTTCTATTTGTGCAGTCCTGTGCGTTTGGAGGTTGAGTTCCGTCTCCTGGGCCCGATTTCTCAAGCGTTACTCGTCCGTGTGTATTCCCATCCAGGCACTTAAGTGTCTCCTGACATCCCATTGGTTCACATTAATTTTGAGCGTTCGTTTCTTAAGCTTATTGATGTCCCTTCCCCCCCCCCCGCTAGCCAACGACTGACCATCTCTTAAAATGCGACCCAGAAACACGGGCATCGCTAGCGCAGGAGTCGAACCCGGGACCAAACGGTTGTGAGACCATTCCCAACTCTGGTCCCACTCTCTTCCGACCCCCCCCCCCCCCCAACTACTCTGTCTTCCCTGTCATCCTCTCGCCCAGCCCTCACTATGGTCTTGGCAACACTGCACATATCGTCACTGTAGACCTTTGCAACATTGCAGGTCTTGGTAATACTGCACTGTTCTCGTTCTAGGTCCTTGCAACATTGCACTGCTCTCGCTGCCGATCTTGTCTCCGGTGATTGGCTGTTGCATCATCCAGTGTCCTGCAGAAAATTATAATTTATCAATTTAAACAGTTTTTAATGTCTTAAAATAATTTGGTCTTGAAATTGTGTGTCAGGAATTCATTGATGTCTCTGTCACTCATTGATGTCTGTGTACTCACCGATGTCTGGCACTCACTGATGTCTCTGGCACTCATTGATGTCTCTGGCACTCACTGATGTCTCTGGCACTCACTGATGTCTCTGGCACTCACTGATGTCTCTGGCACTCATTGATGTCTCTGGCACTCATTGATGTCTCTGGCACTCATTGATGTCTCTGGCACTCATTGATGTCTCTGGCACTCATTGATGTCTCTGGCACTCATTTATGTCTCTGGCACTCACTGATGTCTCTGACACTCACTGATGTCTCTGACACTCACTGATGTCTCTAGAACTTATTGATGTCTCTGGAACTTATTGATGTCTCTGACACACACTGACGTCTTTGGTCATTGATGTTATTGTTTATGTCAGCACATGTGTTCCACGATCTCAGTGCCACAGGTTTTTACAACACTTTCAACAATTTTCACATAAATATTGATAAAATTAGATATTGCACATCAGTTATTGCAAATCACTATGTAGCACTGTTGCAAGATGGATGTTCAAAGTAACATACAAACATTTACACATTGAATTAATTATATTACAAACCATTACTCGAACTGCACCATATAACACAAAGTTCTCCTCCAATCGCCTGAGAGGTGTATATCATACACCTTCCTCCCTCCCTGCAACACTGACTCCTCGTACCTGCAACGTTGGCTCCTGGGGGGCTCGCTCTTGGGAAACTGTTGCACTTCTTGCAGGTCTGCCATTGAAAACTTTGAGCCTCGTATGAAAGGAGGAATGCAGCAAAGATTTTCCTCAGACCAATGTGTTCGTCCCTACCTGCCTCTCTCTCTCACCACCACGTGTTCGAACCCTCGTATTCTTGGCTAGGGAGACCCTATAGCTACGAGACCTCGTGATACAAATCTCTCCTTATAAGGCGAAGTCGATTATAAACACCAGCCCACACTCTTCATTTATTTCTGATCTATTGACTATTTTATCGCCTTAAAATCACAAGGAAACAAATAATCTTGATGCCATAATTCTAAGAAATCGGACAGAAAATGCAGGGATGGTGTGTTGTGTTTACTTTGCTCAGAGGATCAGTACTCTTGATCCTGATTGGCTACTGCTCTACCCTCCATGACCAATCACGGCCAACGATGTATGTAGAGAAGTCTCAGTCGGTTAGAAGGTTGATTTTTCTATCTATAAACTGAGAAAACTGAACTTTGCTGACAAGGTATCTTTGCAGTGGTTTTAATATCCCTAAACCACCGCAGTTTTTACGGTTGGGTCAAGAGCTTAAAACAAGTAATGTGTTCATAAAGAAACTGAAGAGTTGTCATAAATTATCATCACACCATATGATGATTTTAATGAATATGAAAGTTAAAATTGCCTGTCTGGATTAATTCGTAGTGGTTGCATGTTCCAAACATTTAACAAGAACCTAGAGTGAATGCAGGTCAGGGCAAGATGAATGCAGGTCAGGGCAAGATGAATACAGGTAAGGGCAAGATGAATGCAGGTCAGGGCAAGATGAATGCAGGTCAGGGCAAGATGAATACAGGTCAGGGCAAGATGAATGCAGGTCAGGGCAAGATGAATGCAGGTCAGGGCAAGATGAATAGAGATCAAGCATGATGCATGCATGTTCGGGCAAGACGAAAGCAAATCAGGGCAAAATAAATGCAGGTCATTGCAAGCTGAATGCACGTCAGGGCAAGATGAGGCCAATGCAGATTACTGAAGTTTCTGCAGAGTTGAAACAGCTAGTTCATTATACAAGAACAAAACGCGGACAAAGGTAGATAGAATGCAGCTGAAACTCGAGATAGGCTGATATAATGCTGATGTAGGGGAGAAGGTGAGGAAACCCGTGTGTGGGGGAGATGGATTATGGATTGATGAACTTTGGCAACAAGAACTGTTAAATATGCTCATAAAAGCATTTGTGTTCTAAGATAAATTTTATGTCAACAGAACCATTTTGTGTTTTAGAAGTGTTAACTCCCAAGTTCCTCAACAGCCACCTCCATCCCTCCCTGCAACACGGGCTCCTGGTAGCTCCCTCTCTGCAACATTGCAACGTGGGCTGTGTGTGTGCTCCCTCCTGGGAAACTGTTGCACTTCTTGTAAGTCTTCCATTGAAAACTTTGTACCTCGTATGAAAGGAGAAATGCAGCAAAGATTTTCCTCAGACAAATATGCTCGTCCCTACCTGCCTCTCTCACCACACAGGTGTTCAAACCCTCGTATTCTTGGCATAGCGAGATCCCCTCAGCTAAATGATCTTGTGATTCAATCTCGACTAAATAAGGCAGCTTAACTACAGACATTTCTTAACGTATTTGGCAGATGTCTGACACAAATCCCTACCTCAACCACGGAGGAAAATATATTTTTCATACTATATTGTGCAGAAATGCAAGGAAATCGAACACATGCAATGCAGAGATGGATATGCAACGTTTTTGTTGCCATGTTGCTCCGAGCACCTCTGTACTTTTGACCCTGAGTGGCTGTGGAGGTAGAGCATCAGCCAATCACAGACCACGACGTGTGTAGAAGGTTGGTTATTCTATCTCTATACATTGAGAACTGACCTTTCATGACACAGAATAGTCTTTACATGCATCATGGATATATCCTGTAAGTTGCACAAGTTTTCAGGGAAGTCTTTCCAAAGTTGGAAACTTGTTGTTTTGCAGTCTTTGTTTTCCTCCTCTTGTCTACATCATTACCTCTCGTCCCTTCATTTCTTCTTATGTTAACATTTTCACCTAACACCCTCTTTTGTCTCCCTAACCTCCGTCCTTCTCATGTCCCCCGTACCCCCACACAGACAGCAAGGCAGCATAGAGAGCCATGGGGCCCACAAACGGCTCAAGAGTTACATGGGCCCCGAGGACACTAGTGGTAGTAAAATATTAACTCTATGAAGGGTCCATACTTGGTCCATCAAGAGGTGGCCCCGAGACGCCTCACAAGCATCACCACAGATCTCTACAGGCAATGCAGCCCGCCAAACACACACCGAAACTACAACGTTGCTATAACGTTCGAACAAGTTTTAACACCTCCTAACCAGTTATAACAACCAATATATCAAGTTGTAACAACGTTCTAATACGTCATAAACACGTTAAGCCAAGATGTAACAACTTTATTACAAGTTGTAACAAGCGGAAAATGGAGACAGTTTCGGTTTGTGTTTCCAGGGAGGTCGGAGAGAGATGTAAGAAAACAAAGCATGTCGGGGCGAAATATAGCGAAGCAATGCAGGTCGAGGCGAGGTGTAAGGAGGCAATGCAGGTAGTTGAAGTTACTGCAAAGTTAAATAAATCTACTTCATTATACAAGAGCAGAATGTCGACGAAGGCTGATGGAAAGCAGCTGAAAGTTGACATAATGTGTTAGAATGCAGCTGAAAGTTGACATAATGTGTTAGAATGCAGCTGAAAGTTGACATAATGTGTTAGAATGCAGCTGAAAGTCGACATAAGGTGTTAGAATGAAGAGGAAAGTCAACATAAGGTGTTAGAATGCAGATGAAAATCGACGTAAGGTGTTAGAATGCAGCTGAAAATCAATATAAGGTGTTAGAATGCAGCTGAAAGTCGACGTATGGTGTTAGAATGAAGCTGAAAGTCGACGTATGGTGTTAGAATGAAGCTGAAAGTTGACATAGGCTGATGTAATGCAGATGAGAGGGAGAAGGTGGGGAGACGTGGGGGGGGGGTCGATTAGGATAGATTAACTTCGGCAACAATTTTTGTAATATATGCTCTTAAAAGCATTTTTGTTCTAAGATTGATTCTGTTGACAAAATCATTCTATGTTTTAGAAGTGATAGCTCCTAAGTATCTAAACAGCCACCTCCATCCTTCCCTGCAACACTGACTCCTGGTAGCTCCCACCCTGCAACATTGCAACGCGGGCTTGTGTGTCCTCGCTGCTGGGAAACTGTTGCACTTCTTGCAAGTCTTCCATTGAAAACTTTCCGTCTCGTATGAAAGGAGAAATGCAGCAAAGATTTTCCTCAGACCAATATGCTCGTCCCTACCTGCTTCTCTCACCACACAGGTGTTCGAACCCTCGTATTCTTGGCATAGCGAGACACCCTTCAGCTAAATGATCTTGTGATTCAATCTCGACTAAATAAGGCAGTCTTATCTACAGACACTTCTCAATGTATTTGGCAGATGTCTTACACAAATCCCTACCTCAACCACGGAGGAAAATATATTTCTCATGATATATTGTGGAGAAATGCAAGGAAATCGAACACATGCAATGCAGAGATGGATATGCAACGTTTTTGTTGCTATGTTGCTAAGAGCACCTCTGTACTCTTGACCCTGAGTGGCTGTGGAGGTAGAGCATCAGCCAATCACAGCCCACGACGTGTGTAGAAGGTTGAGAAGGTTGGTTATTCTATCTCTATACATTGAGAACTGACCTTTCATGACAAAGAATAGTCTTTACATTCATCATGGATATATCCTGTAAGTTGCACAAGTTTTCAAGGAAGTCTTTCCAAAGTTGGAAGCTTGATTTGCAGTCTTTGTTTTCCTCCTCTTTGTCTACATCATTACCTCTCGCTCCTTCATTTCTTCTTATTTTTAAATTTTGACCCAACGCCCTCTTTTGTCTCCCTCTAAACCCCCCCCCCCCCTTCCTTCTCTCCCCATACCCCTACACAGACAGCAAGGCTGATATAGAGAGCCATGGGGCCCACACACGGCTCAAGAGCTACACGGGCCCCCAGGACACGAGTGTTAGTAAAATATTAACTCTATTAATCTAGGGTCCACACTTGGTCCATCAGAGAGGGGCCCCGAGACGCCTCACAAGCATCACCTCAGGTCTCTACTCTACAGGGAATGCAGGTCGGGGCGAGATGTAAGGAGGAGACAATGCAGGTAACT